TGGCGGTCAGTTTCAGCAGCGGCTGAATCTGGACGCCAGTTCCGACTTACATACAGATTCAACTTAAGAACAAACCTACAGTCCCTATCTTGTACGTAACCCGGGGACTGCCTGTATAAAGAAGCCCAGGAAGGCAGCAACAAGATGTATTGAACAGATCTTAGCTGCTGGATATAGGGTCCCTGTGTAACACTAGGATCCCCTACTCAGTTTCAGCAGCGGCTGAATCTGGACGCCAGTTCCGACTTACATACAGATTCAACTTAAGAACAAACCTACAGTCCCTATCTTGTACGTAACCCGGGGACTGCCTGTATAAAGAAGCCCAGGAAGGCAGCAACAAGATGTATTGAACAGATCTTAGCTGCTGGATATAGGGTCCCTGTGTAACACTAGGATCCCCTACTAGCCACTGGAGAAGCCTCTCCTCATAAAAAGTCATAAAAACATTGGAAAGCTCCCAGAGAAGTATTGAGGTGATGCTGAAGATCTCGTGTGTGGACATTTACACTGTCTTTGGTTGTACTTCCTGTTAGCCCAAGAGAGGTGGACTAAACTGTGACCTGACTAGAGGGCTGAGTCATTGAAGAGGTGGTCCTCTGGAGGACCAGAGTGGCTGTCAGCAGGGCGTACCATCTGGGGAGAGACTTGCACATTAAAGGAGTTTGAGGGGTTTTCCGCATCTCAATCCCCTGTCCCAGCCCACTGTAAGTGAATGAGGAAAGGGGAGAATGAGAAACAGAGGGAGGGGAAATGGAGTGAGGGGAGAAGATGTGGGATGTGGCAACGGCGTTTGATTTTTTGTGATTATAAAGTTGGCAACACTACCCCGACTTTGAGTCCTGTCTCTAATGCTGGATTCAGCTACGGCCTTGTGCAAATCTCACTCAGTCTGGTGAGGTTTTCCCATCTGTGAAATGGAACTAATGAAGGTGCAAGCATTCAATATAAACTGGAGACATAAAGAAAATCTTGTACTCCTGCATCTCAACACAGGGGAAGAGACAGGCTAGATTGATACAGCAGTGTCCATAAGGAGCAGAGCATTTCTTATTTGGTTTAGTTATAGAGGAAGGTAGATGAAGGGGATATAGAGAACAAAGTAAAAGAAGATAAATGGAGAAGGTTTCGTTTTGCCTTCGTGCTTCCACATCTGCTTGCTACTTATTGCAAATATCCTATCCTGCATTTTAGACTCCTCAGGTTGTGATTAAGGATGTTAAATTGCAGTTAATTTACTAGTCGAGTAGTCAATGGAATTTCCATCAACTACTTGACAGGCACTTCCACATTCCTCCTTTGAAATGTACAGAACACCGCGTGCAGCCCCAGGCCAGTGGGAAGTCCTGCTGACTCCGGGCTGCAAGCGGGTGGTGGCTTTGAAATGTACAAGAGTTCCCAATGGGGGCTCTTGTGCATTTCAAAGCGGCAGCACAGCATGGAGCCCAGGGTCAGCGGGAGACTCAGAGTCCCCTGCTGACCCTGGGCTCCATGCTGCACTGCTGATTTGAAATGCCATGCGGAGCCAGGGTCAGCTTGGGACTCCCCAGCTGATCCCGAGCTCCGTGCAGCATTTCAGTGGAACCTGGCATCAGCTGGGGACGCCCCAGCTGACCGCAGGTTCCATGTGACATTTCCCCAGAACCCGAGGTCAGCCCAGCCAGGATCAACTGTGAGGAGCTGCTGCTTTGAAATGCCCAGGCAGTGTTCAAAGGGGCAGCGCCTCACAGCTCCCCAGCTCAGTTGTGCCATGCTGCCCCTTTGAAACGCCGCCTCGGTGTTTCAAAGGAGCAGCACCGAACAGGTGATCCCCGGCTTAGCTGTGCAGTGCTGCCCTTTGAAGTACTGCCTCTTCCCCCCCTTTGCTACCTCTATCTGATAGAAGCAGCAAGGGGGGAAGGGAGACTCAACTAGTCGACTGACTATTCGATAAGCATTTGCTTATCGGGTAGTCAACTAGTCTTTAACATCTTTAATTGTGATGTATATGGAAGGGGGAGATTAATCTTTCCTGGATTATCTTTTTTTAATTGCTGAAATCTGGGAATATTTTAATGTTGCTAAATCTATATTAATGAACAAGCAAATATTTTTAAAAGTTCCTGGCCTGTGGTCTGCAAAGATTTCTTTAGAAACACATCATATAATAAAGGCAAACCAGGCAGCTATTCTTCACCCTTTGATTATATATGTGATAATTATACCTAGCTCTTTACATTAGTAGAAATCAAAGCACTTTACAAAGGAGGTCAGTATCATCATCCTCATTTTACAGAAGAGAAAATCAAGCCACAAGGAAAGACAATGACTTGCTTAAGCTTTAAGCTGGTGACAAAGCTAGAAGTAGAATCCAGGTCACCTGAGGCCTTATCCAGTGCACCATAGGTACCAACTCCCTGGCTGTGTCTAGACTGGCCGCTTTTTCCGGAAAAGCAGTTGCTTTTCCGGAAAAACTTGCCAGCTGTCTACACTGGCCGCTTGAATTTCCGCAAAAGCACTGACGATCTCATGTAAGATTGTCAGTGTTTTTGCGGAAATACTATGCTGCTCCCGTTCGGGCAAAAGTCTTTTTCCAAAAAACTTTTGCGCAAAAGGGCCAGTGTAGACAGCAGAGATTTGTTTTCCGCAAAAAGTGCTGATCGTGAAAATGGTGATCGGGGCTTTTTTGCGGAAAAGTGTGTCTAGATTGGCCATGGACGCTTTTCTGCAAAAAGTTCTTTTGCGGAAAAGCGTCCTGCCAATCTAGATGCGCTTTTCCAAAAATGCTTTTAACGGAAAACTTTTCAGTTAAAAGCATTTCTGGAAAATCATGCCAGTCTAGATGTAGCCACTGGGTATTTTGGGGCTGGAGCACCCATGGGGAAAAATTAGTGAGTACTGGGACCTACTGGCAACCAAATTCCCCCACCCTTCTCGTGCCTCTTGCCTGCTGGTGGCAGCACTGACCAGCTCCTCTCCTGCCCTCCTAGCACTTCCAAAGTACCACAAACAGCTTCATGGTGTTCAGGAGAGAGAAAAGGAAGGATGCCTGGGGAAGAGGTGGAATGTGGCAGGGGAGGAGGGATCAATCGCCCCCATTAGAGGGGAAGTTGCTGCTGATGCAATGCACTATTCATTAGGCCATATGCCTCCCATAACTAGAACCCTGCAGAAATACAACATTTGTATTGATCTGCAGATATCTGCATCTACATCCGTGGATATAAGGTGGATATCCACAGATTTTCAGGGCTCTATCTATAACCAGCCACCCTCTTAGAACAATAAAAATACCTTTTTCTTCCCCTTATAAGAAAATCTCCCATGATAGGATGAGCTTTGCAACATGCCCCAGAAGCCATGTTTGGGAAGTTTCAGACTAAGGTCTGTGGGAGGATGAGTTTCTGAGCAAATAACACCTTTGCTGATGTCCTCGTGGCCCAGGTAATTTAGGACTTTCTAGGTCAAACCCAAAGAGAGCTGGAAACTCACAAGCAGCCAATGAGTATCCACATAATGTGTTTACAGTGAGATGCACCATTTAACAAGCAGCTTCTGTTTCCAAGGAGAATTAAAGTGCATACCAAATAGATTACACTGTTGCTTCATTATTAAACTGCTGCAGAGGCATGAAACACGACAATGAGATCCACGGATGCTGATAAGACCATCTGAGACCCATTGCAATACCTAACCACCAATTGGGAATCTAATCAGATAGTTAATTTCAGGAACAAATGATATATGGACACTCTTTTGTTAGGTATAATCTTTCCCTTCATCCATTTGTACATCCCAAGCAATCACCACCACCTCTGTTTTATTTAGGTTGAATACTGCATAGAGTCATTGCAGCTGGAGGGGTTGGCTCAGTGATCTAAGCATCATTTTTAAACACCCAGACTGCCTGGCACCACACCTTCAAACTCAGACAGGTTGAACTCAGCTTTTTATACTTCTCAGGCAGGTAAAACGAGCTGCGCTAATTTTAACTCGCCTGGGGATTTTGGGTGTTTTACTGTTGCCTTTTTGTCAAGAAGCAATTTTTGGAGCTATGGAGTTTCTTGTTTGGAACAGAAAATGGGGTTGCAAAATAAAAGTATTTTCTTAGTGTAATTTGTTTATGTACAAAATGTAAATGAGCCTTATTTCCTTGTATGGCAAGGTAACAAATGACATACAGGGGAACTCTTCCTTTGTGGAACCTCAGGTAAGACCCATTACATGCTTAAGTTATGAGCATATTTACCCTGATATCAGTGCAAAAAGGATAACTGGTTACACTGCTCTCTTGTTCTTCAGTAAAACTGATGGCATCTTAATGGGAGACATGTAGCCATATGCAGGGAAGGAGGAGGTCAGCCCAACACAAATTGCCATAGCAATGCTGGAGGCAGCATTCATTTTGATGCAAGCTGACTGTAAGTTTCCATTTCCTGTTATCCTTGCTTTTCAAGCCAGCTTTGGACCAACAATTCCAGCTGAAACACACAACAGTTATGTAAGCCAATACAAGTACTAGTGATGTAAGAGATTGAATGTATAGCTCATGGTACAATGTATATATTTTTGTTTGTCTCTAAGGTGATACAGGACTACTTTTTTTTTATAGTTACATAGTAACACTGCTATTCCTTCTGAGACTTTATTACTGAAAAAAGTCTTGAACATTAGGGTCACTGATGTGTAAGCTGTGATAGTCAGAGGTGATATCCTGACAGGTCTCCTACTCTGTTGATGATGATAACCATTTGGCTGTGTTCATGTGTGCTCCTCCTGCATGTCATGTTGACTTTGCACAAGCAGTCAATACACCAGACACTAAGAGAGCCCCCGAACACCACAAAATCAGATAAGGATTGAAGGTGCCCAGCCAGGTTTATTGTCAAATGAAGTAGAGTAATAGTTGTCAGACTCTACCAAACCACTATGCATGAGTGAACCAGCTCAGTCAGTGGGAGATCCCACTGGCCTGTATGCTGGACAAAGACAGCCTCTCCAAGACACAACTTTATATACAGGTACAAACAAGTTACACATCACTCCTGCTGTGTCAGGTTATCACCCCCTGACATTACCTAGATATCACCCTGCACCTGGTGGTTCAATTAGAACATCTATACTCAGTATGCTGTCGTTTTAGACCCTGTCCTGAACCTGGGTCAGTATGTCCCTGTTATCTGCAGGGAGCATGTGGGTACCAAGTTGCTTCTTAATGATGTATTACCATCCCCCTGGAAAGTGCTTTCAACTTATGCCCACTACCAATTAGTGTTTTACAGCTCGTGTCTAGTACCAATTACTGTTTTACATCTGTGTCTATTGACAATTAAAAAATCTCAAAGGGGTAGCCATGTTAGTCTGCAACTTTAAAAACAGTGAGTATTCCTGTGGCACCCTAGAGACTAACAAATATATAGTATCATGAATTTTCATGGGTAAAACCCACTTCATCAGATGGGCTGGTGGGCTGGAGAGGAAATAACAGAAACCAAGATTTTATTTATATATATTAAACTTGTGAATTAAGTTAAGTTCCAATCCTCTGCGTATTTGGCTTGTCGAATGGGTCTGAAACAAAACAGCATCTTGGAGATCCATTAATGAGTGTCCAGGAAGATTAAAGTGTTCTCCAACAGGTTTTTGTGTGTTGTCTTGTAACGACTTAAAGAACCATCAAACAATGGAGGTGCTAATGGTTCTTAACAGCCTCTTGTAACTATTTGCACTATCTACTCATTGTCTCATTTTCTTCATTCCTCCCCTTTTTCCTTCTTCTCCTCCTCCTCTTCCCCCCTTCCATTATTTATTCTTGGATCTGGACTTATTATACTCCGGTCATCTGAAGAAGTGGATTTTGCACATGAAAGGTAATGATACTATCTACATGTTTTGTTGGTCTTTAAGGTGCTACTAGAATATTTGTTATTTAAGTTCATCCAGTTAATGTCTTTGTTCAAACATAGGGTGTCAGATTTGTTGATGAATACCTATTCTGCACTCTCTCTTTGTTTTTGGCTGGTGAAATTCCTTTGTAGAAGAATGGCTACTTTCAAATCCATGATTGAGTGTCCAGCCAGGTTAAAATGTTCTGCTACAGGTTTATGTGTGCTACTGTTTCTAATGTATGATTTGTGTCCATTTTATCCTTTGTTGTGGAGACAATCCAGTTTATTGGCAGAGGGGCACTACTGGCACTTGATGGCATATATCACATTGCCAATTAGAGTTTTACACAGTCGGTCCTGTTTGTGCCAAGTTCCATGAGCAGGGGCCTGCCTCTTGCTTACAGATTACCTTTGCTTTATGTTAGCAAAGTCTTGACCATTGTTGGCTAGGCCTCAGGCCTCATAGTAGGCCTGTGCTATATGGGCTTTAGGGTTGCCAGGTGTCCAGTTTTGAACTGGCCAGTTCAATATTTGAGTTTTTTGTCCAGGAAACAAATTGATAAAATACCAAACATATAAATTAAGTAAACCAGGGCAGAGCGAGTACAGTAATTCCTCATTTAACACTATAGATGTGTTTCTGAAAATGTTCATGCTCAGCGAAAAAGTGCTATTTGGGGTCAATTTTTCCATTCAAAATAATGGGAAAGGTGGGGGTTGCATTTCAGGCAGTGGTGGCAAAGTCAATTTTTTGTTGGTGCTGGGTCATCAATGGCAACATTAAATATCTAGCAACACAAGATAATTAGCAACACAAGTCGCCGCGGTTTGTTAAACACAAAGATAAACACATGAGTGAGCGGAGGAGCACTGTGACCATGTGTATTTATCCACTCATGCATATTACCACTGTTTTCACCAACTTATACTGCTGTGCGAAATGGTCCATCACTTGATTATTTTCATGTTATTTCGGGGATGGTCGTGTTATTCAAAAAATATTCCCTAAAAAAAAAATCATGCTATTGCGAAAACATGTTAAGTGGGCACGTGTTAAACGAGTAATTACTGTATTATTCTACCACCATCCAGGGCCAATTTACAGCCTCCAAGGACAGCACCAATTTCTACCTGCGCTTGGACAGCCTGAGCGCGGAGGACAGCGCTATGTGTTACTGCACCAAAGACACAGAGTGAGGAAGCCAGTCTGGGCTCAGATACAAACCTCGCAGGCAATAGAGGCTTGGTGGCTGGTGAGGCCAGGCAGGAGCAGGCGCATCCGCCTAGCTCTGTGCAGAGATCAGCAGGGCTCTGACCAGCCACTCCCCAGAGCCAGGTCCCCTCTATGTCCCGCTGAAGGGAGAAGCAGAGCCCGAGGGCAGGCCCGGGGTGATGCTGAGCCCAGGGTGCAGGTGAGTTAGCTTCCTGCCTCCAGCTTTTTGACCCCAAGGGCATGGAAAATGGGGGGTGGGGGTCTGGGGCTTTCTATGGGTGAACCCCCAAAAGATGCTCTATAGGGCCACGGGATGATCTCAAGGGACATGAGGTCACCTCACTCCTTCCGTCAGTGAGAGCATCCTCAGATCCTACCACCAGAGTGCTGCACAGCCCGTGGAGAGGGACTGTCTGATGTTGCTCCCTAAGGCCGAGTGTAAAACACAGCGCACGAGTGTGTCTCTTATAATGGGGGGCCGGAGCAGGGAACCGAGCCTGGCCATGCATGGTACTAGGTTCACGCCTTGCCCCTGAGTGATCCTCCCTCACTCCCTTCTGCCCTGTCTGAATTTTCGGGCAATATACTTCCCATATCATGGTTGGACTTTTTTTTTTTTTCTTTTTTTTGGTCAGCACATTTTTATCAAGTGTGCCCGGTATTTTTATTGAAACCATCTGGCAACCCTATTGGGCTTCTGTTTCAGGCTCTCATCTTACTACGTAAGCATCCATGATTAAATTATCCATAGAAAGAGTTAAAAGATGCTATGAAGTAATGTTCTTAAAACAACCTTTCTTCTGCTTAGACTTTTCCTAGTTTTCTGTGTGTTGCACCAAAAAAAGGGCTAAACACCAGGCCTCCTTTCTAAATAATACAGTCCAACAAGAACCTTGCATCAGTGGTTTCCCAGGTATAAAATACAGCAACTGAGTGAGGAAAACAGGCATAGAGTATATTTAAGCAGAAGGATCTGTTTGACAGAGAGACAGAGGCCAAAGGACAGTTGCTTCTTGTGACAGAGTAATCGGGTATCTCTGAGGTTTGTGTTGACAGAAGATAATCAATCTTAATACATATTTATGTAATACTGTTCATTCCAATGTATGCTAAAATTCTTTTCAAACTATAAAAGCTGAAACGATAGGTCACTAAATTCACCTCTGAATTGCAGTGTGAAATGCAATGTATTTTTAACAGTGTCCAGTCGCTCTACAGAAAGCAGAAGGATTTGAGTTTGAATCACAACAGATATACCTGCATATAGTAGGAAAAAATAATTCTCTGCACACAGTGGTACAGCCTTCTGTTTTAAATCTCTATGAATAATGTATGCACATGAAAATGGAAAGGGAATGATCAGTCTCACATTGATTCTGTACTCAGGGGTTCTGGGGTGGAATGGAGCTCTACTAGTGCAGTACTCCTTCAGAGTATCAGAGTCCCAATCTAGCCTACTCTTTCCTCACTGCACATCTGCTATGTGTGCACATATGCTACATATTGTGCTACACAGTTTTTCCTGTTGTCTCCCCACAGACCATCATGTTACTTGCATCCTATATTTTTAACTTGCTGCATAACATTTTAAATAAAGGGAATGCTTACGTCCTATTAGATATTAATGAATATTGAGCACTTACAGCCCAAAGCTCCTGTAGACACTTTTAATTGTGGACAGAAGCCACAAAAGACTACAGTTTACATCCATGTATTGTAACTGACTGTAATGTTAGGCAAACTGAAAGCTAAAATGTGTATGTGTTTATAGCCGTAAAATATGTCTCCAAACTCTCTATATAAAAATTATATAGGTTGAACCTCTCTAAATTGGGACTCTCTGGTCCGGCAACACCCATGGTGGGGGAGGACCATGAATGTTCCTGGACCAGAGAGCCCTGGCAAAGATCCAGTAGCTGGGATCCTTTCCAGTCTGGCAGCAACAGGATTGACAGCTCTGCTAGGGCAGGGAGTCCAGCCTGGACGGAAGCAGTGAGGAATCGGCAGCTGGGCCAGAAATGGAGCCGGGCAGAGGGACTACTGGCAGTAGAGCAGGAATTGACCTCCTCTAATCTGGCAAACTCCCTCATTTGGGACCAGACAGATCCTAAGAGGTCCAATCTGTAGTAACTATGATGATAAATATTATATTGACCTAGGGGATCTCTGTCCCAAAATTGTGGTGGGACCTAAGTTCTAAAAGTTTTCTTGGGAACTCATAATTTATGACAACTTCAAGTTTACTTTATGATAGTGTCAGACCCAACATACCATTCAGGCAGAAAAGGGGTTAATACAGATCACAACAAGAGGCAAGGCTAGGACTCCTGTAGCTGCTATTATAAAAGGCTTTGCAGTCAGAAAATGAAAAGGGGCCCAGGTCTGAGGGGTAGTGAGCATTCTCCTGAGAGAAGGACTGAGATTTTTGTGTGCCGAAGGGACCAGAGAAGAACTAGAATATGGTCAGTAAGCAAAAGTCATCACTGGACAGTGAGGATTGTCAGTGGGACTGACTGAATCATACTAATCCATACATTTTGTTTTGGGCAGAGCTGCATTAAGAAGCAAGTTATACCAACCTGACTGATCAAAGAACACGTACACATACTTTAACCTCAGCCAAAGCATGCTGTGTCACCTTGTAACAGGATTGATCTCCCTAACATGACTGCTAGATGAAATATCTACATACTTGCCTCATGATCAGTCTGACCTTTCTGTAGAGAGATGAAAAATTAAATTCACCTCCTGCTGTTAGGAACTGAAAACTTGGTGGAAAGACACTGGCCCATCAGTGAAAGGATAGATGAAGTTATGTAAATACCTATCTGCCTCTGATGAAAATTACCAGTATAAACCTCCCATCAGGTTTTGCTGGTAGCAACAAGGGTTGGGTTTGATATCTGGGGCTTTGTCTACACTGCAGGTTTTTTGCACAAGGAGCTTTTTGCAGAAGAGATCTTCTGCAAAAACTTCCTGTGCAAAAGCGTGTCCATACCTCAAAAGCACATTGCAAAAGTGATGTGCTTTTGTGCAAGAGAGCGTTCACACTGCATGAATGCTCTTGTGCAAGAAAGCTCTGATTGCCACTAACAGAATGGCCATCAGAGCACCTGTGCTTTTTCTGATAGGCTCTTTTTGCTTAAGAAACCCCTGTGGAGTGTCCACGCCTGCCTTTTTGCACAAGAGCTGTAGCACAAAAAGGAGTTATTCCTCGTGGGGACAGGAATAACTCTACTGGCAAAAGCCCTCTGTCCTGTCAATTTACTGTATTTTTTTCGCAAAAAAGCGCTTGAAGTGTGGACACTTCACCAGTTTTTGCACAAAAACCTTGTAGTGTAGACATAGCCTTAGGGACCTTGTAAAATTACTAAATAACAATCAGTTTGAGCTCCCACTAAATATCTAAAACTAAATTCTTCTCTTGTGCACCCTGAATAAGTAATACCTATGCACTGGTAAACATAGAATCTGTGTACAACTCATACCAAAAACCTTTTTTATTGAGGGAAGAGGAAGCACAGAATTAACTTGGAGAAACACAGTAACAGTGAATTAAAAATACAGACTTAAGTAAAACACCTACACTACAGAGTTTTCTTCCCCTGTTTCCCCACCTACTGGTATGAATGTGGAATGAACAGATGTCACTTTAACACACTATTTCCCCCCTTCCTTCTGCTGCATCCTACTCAGTTTGTTGTCAGAGGTTAGCACAGTGTCAGAGTCAATGGAAAAACTTAAACAACAACAACAACTAGTCTTGCAGCATCTTAGAGACTAACAAAAACGTAAGTGGTATTCATGAGCTTTTAGTGGGCACAACGCACTTCTTCAAAAGAAGTGGAGTTGTTCATGATACCACCTACTTTTTTTGTTAGTCTGTAACTGGAAAAACTTAAATAACAACAAATAGTCTTGCAGCACCTTAGAGACTAATACAGCAACCCCTCTGAAACTTCAGAGTCAAAGGGTACATTATGGTAGGCTCCTGCAGCCTCTGGTGGAGTAGGTGAGTGTTGCCTGACTTCTATATGGAGATACTTTGCTGCTCTTCTTATTGCTTTGCCGCCTCTCATTGAGGCTGTGCTGCTTTAATGGTCCAATCATTTGATACCACCTGTGCCTAGCTTAGGTATTAGTAACTACCCTTCCAGGAGCTTCAGGGAGCAGCCGAGTTAGTCAGGATAAACTTAAAAAACAAAAATGGTCAAGGTTAGTGGATAGGAAGCATGCTGCTGTTGTGTGATCTCTCAGCGCAATGCTGTCTGCAGCTACCATACCAAATCTGGGTTCTGAAACATCCCTGCCTAGCTTGACTACGAGTGATTTCAGCTATCTGCCATGTGGGAAGAACCTCACTGCTACTGCTGCAGCAGCTCTCACTGTAGTGCCTTTTTTACAGTTCTACTACTCGCCCCCAACCAAAAACCTACAGAGAGAAGGGGTTACACAGCTCATTAAATGAATCAACAGCATTTACACCATCAGGAAAAAGCACCTGGTCCTCTCTCACTTGAGTTTTTAGCTTGATACCCAACACTTTGAGTGTAAGGCAAAGGTTAGGAGTGATCCCTCAGTTAAGTCATGTTAAGCACAGTTCTGGCACCATTTGGTCATACAATAAGGGTAATCACATCTCTTTTTATCCAAGACTTTAAAATGAATGTTAATCCAAAATGGCCTAAAATAATCATCCTGTCATGGCAGGTTTCACCCATTTAAAAGAGCTCTGCTCAGGAAGTCTCTTCTTCGGAGAACTTTCTTTCCAGAGACTTTAGTGCTTAAAGTGTGAGGGATTGCCAGGGATCACAGGCCTGGCAAACATCTTTCTTTCCTTCTCACCCCAACACAAACTGCATCACTGAGAGACGTATGCTAAAGCAGTGGTCTCCAACCTTTTTAAGCACGAGATCGCTTTTTTAATTTAAGTACAATCCAAGATCTACCTCAAACCCAAACACCCTTG